GTGACCAAAGCAGTTTCTGTGCCAAACTGAGCCTAAACCCCAATTGAAATAGGGAGGGAGAGAAATCCCTAGAGCCCACACGCTGAGCAGCTGTTGCCCAGCAAGCAAGGTGGAGAGTTTAAAAGCACTTCTCATGCTGGATAATCTAAGCACACCTGGTGTGGAATGAGCTTTCAGCTCCCTGGCTTGTTTGGGGGACAAGGCCCACTCAATGTGCCGGCTCTCAGAGCCTAGGGGTGCTCCTGAGAGATCTTGTGGGAACTTTGATGGCCCCGCAAGCATCCCAGAGCCAGCGCCCAGAGTGGGCCTTGCCCCCCAAGAAAGGTGGAGAGCATGGATAAGGCTCTTCCATGGAGCCTCCTGATTCAGAGACGGTCTGCCACCAGATACCTGGTCCTGGGGGATGTACACAAGATTCAGAGCTATGGTCCTCATGACCTGCTTGTGGCATCTCATATGGGAAATGCAGTGTTGGACAATATGGGCTTTTGGTCTCATCCTGCAGGGCTGCACTGAATGTTCTTAACTGCATAGTTGTTCATGCCTCCAGTGGTTTTTACAACTGCATAAAAGGAAACATAGACAAAATTTCTTGGGTGCATTCAGGGAAATAGGCCAGGATGCAAAGTAAGCAAACCCTGTTGCTACTTTACATTACAGTGGTACCTCGGGTTACAGACGCTTCAGGTTACAGACTCTGCTAATCCAGAAATAGTTCTGCGGGTTAAGAACTTTGCTTCAGGATGAGAACAGAAATCACGCAGCAGCAGCGGGAGGCCACATTAGCTAAAGTGGTGCCTCAGGTTAAGAACAGTTTCAGGTTAAGAATGGACCTCCAGAACGAATTAAGTTCTTAACCCGAGGTATCACTGTACAACTGACATTATTCTGGGACTTAATGACCCTCCAGGTTTAGCCCCAGAACCTGTTTTCACTGCTTGGGCTCAGCTGTAGGACATACGAAGAAAGAACAATATAAACAGAAAATTCCCCTGAGCATGCGCAGATGGTTTTCCCTCTGATATTAGGAGGAAGGGCTTCTGGGTCAGACGGTGTAGGTTTGAGCCCTGCCAACCTTCTCTCTGCAGGGTCTGCATACCATTATCCACAGCAATCCAAATCAGCCCTTCCAAATATAGGATTGAAGACATATAGGACTTTGTCCTGGGGCTTTGCACGTACCCAGACCCCGAACGGGACAGAGCTATGTGCCAGTTTCTTCCAAGTAGACAAGGACAAAAAATGTTGGGGGAAACGGGGAGCATTATGCCAAGGGAGGATCCGGAAAGAACATTGGTGTTGATTTCAAGTCTAGACAGAATACCCAGTGTTATTAGAGGGATAATTAAATCCATCTCACAGGGCAAGAGGGGACAGGACCGGTAGACGGCTCTTTCACTCCAAGTACTTCTGTTGGTTTATTATTTTATTCCCCCGTCTGCCACATTGTCTTTGAAGTTCAAAAATTACTCTTGTTTCCTAGCCAGGTCTACCCTTTTCTCTTAAGCCAATATCACTTTATTTTCGCCCTGGTATTTTGAAAGGACTTGAAACGTGGCTCTTAATAGAAATGTTGTTTGTGTCAGGCTGGCATAATGCAAGCCTGGTAATAAAGGTTGACATCTACAGCCAGCAGGAGGAGGGCAACACTTTGCAGTACAAATGTTAGGAAATCGTGGCAACACATTCATGTACTACCTGTGATAGTTGGTTGAGTGGCGAAGGGAGCCATCATGATGGAGAACTGTCATCATCTTTGGGCCACACTCACTTTTTTCTGCTCAACTCAGGTCTCCGGTCAAACAGGGTTTTTGTAGCATTTTAAGCACTTCTGAGCTTCCAGATACTTTTCCCTGCAATGGAAGTTGTCATTCTGGCTACTACTTTTCCAATTTTGATTTACACCCGCACAATACCTCTTCTACTAAAGAATGGCTAGCAGGGATGGGTCCTTTTTCATTGCTGTTCTGTAAGGAGAGAGGCACTCAGTCCTACATGGCACAATTGGGGAGACACACCTGGCAGCCTGTTCCCCTGAAAAATACCATTGCTTTACATTTGTGCCTGCTGTTAGAGCAAGGTGGTGCCTGCGCTCTGCCCATTTCAGTGATCAAAGTCCAGAGGCAGTGGCAGCTCAGGAGTGCTTCTGCGCATTTGTGGATGTGTTGCAGTTGCTCACAGTTAAATCTCTCCCTGTACCCCTGTCCTCTTTGCTATTAGCTTGAAATACCTTCCGCGTGTAACACGTTTAAGTGTGTGTGTGTGTGTGTGTGTGTGTGTCTTTGGATATTTCACAGCACACTCTTTCTCATGCTTGGCTGTCGGGGGCTGGACTGAGGAGGAATGGTGGAGGCCTCCCCTCCCCCCTTCTCCTAAACTTTCCTGAGAACAGTATAGATTTAGAACGGTGGTTTGCAGAGACTGCATAAGGGAAAAGCTGGGAAATACAGTGGATGCTCGGGTTGCGAACGTGATCTGTGCGGGATGCAAGTTCGCAACCCGCAGCGTTCGCAACCTGCGTCTGCGTGTCTGCGCATGTGCAGGTTGCGATTCGGCGCTTCTGCAAAGCGCGATTTAGCACTTCTGCACATGCGTAACCGCCGAAACCAGGAAGTAACCCGTTCCGGTACTTCCGGGTTTCGGCGGTCTGCAACCCGAAAAGACGCAACCTGAAGCAGCTGTAACCCAAGGTATGACTGTATTGGAAGAGGAACAGCCGGAAGAAGAAACACTGGGGGAGAGACAGCTGACAGACTCAATGTCTTTGGAGAGCATTCCTGAGCCCCCCTCTCCCAAGACTAGGCATGCATTAAGAGCAGTAGTACAGAAAGCTCAGAGACAGAAATCCCAGATCAGCTGGCACAGGAATGACGTAGGATAAGAGAGACGGAGGGGGTGGGGCTTTACTTGGAGCAATGCCATTGTTGAATAAGGACTACCTTCCTTTGTCTCTCTCTGTGAATACTGAATAAATTACGTGGTAAGAACTCTTTGTGTTTATCTGCTTCTTTGGATGCCACCAGGGGAGGGATAGGATTCCCTGAACCTGGACACTGATGGACTTGGCAGCAAACTTGAAATTCAGAAGCAGATTTTAATCTCTGCTTTACCCTTTGGCCATTTGCTTCTTCTTGCTAACTCATAGGACATCTTGACCGCACTGTAACCGTGCAGCTCGCTACCTGTGACCAACAGTATCCCAAGCCTGTGAGTAATGGGTCTCCTTCTCGCACCAAGGAGTAGCTTGCGGAGTATCTTTGCTTCCTCTGAATTCAAGGCGTCTATCACATGAAGACTGGTAGAATAGCCCTTCACTGGGGATAGTGTAAAAACAGGCTACACTTCCAGTATCATCAATAGTAAATTACCCCTTAGATATACCTGGAGGAGTTTTCTGCCAGCGCAAACACAGAGTGAGAGAGCCAAGAATAAAACCCAGGCACCCCGATGAACAGCCCTGCCCAGTAAATCAAGGTTCCTCCAAATTGCCCCTTTCTGAGTCTCCAGAAATGTTTATTTCATTCTATTTTGAAGACTGGCTTACACTGGCTAGTGTTTAAACAACATTAGCAGCCGAGGTTTTATAGCAGTGTTTAGATTCAAATAGTTCTGCTAATATGTTTCTTATTCCCAGTTTAGCCCAGGGCTCTGCATTCCCTAAGAAAGAGGCACTTGTCACCAAAAATAAATTGCATGCCTGCAATATTCAGAACGATTCTTGGTAAATCCGCTAAATGAGATGATCCATTTGCCAAATAGTTGCGGTTTGAAATTATTTTCAGCCAACTATGTGATTATCTTCTCTATGACCTCTTTTGAACTAAAGGGGTTCCAAGGATTTCTCCAAATGTTACCCTAGCGCACAAATGATACATGAGCTTAATTTTAGCCACCAGAAGAATGCTGCACCTATAGCTCAGGACTGTACAACTTTTTTAAAAACACGTCAAGTGAATCTGAAATAGGGTCTTTGCAAGATCAGGCATGGTCAAAGGAAGTCTTAGAGTACTTGTGAATTCATCCTTAAAATGTCTCTCCAGAAATACTGCTTCTTGGTGACCTGTTTACTGAGCGTTCATCCTGATTTGTTTTCACAAAGTTAGCCAAGAGGTATTAGGATGTTGGCCATTTATTCAGCACTCACTCCGATATGCTTGCAGGGAGGTTATATGACATTGCCTCAAGCAGTTGTTCGGTCCCATTCGCTTTTAGCAGATTTTCCTATCAGTCGCCCTTCTGTGCCCTGTATCTGGATGAGAACAAAGACCTATCGAGTCCAGCGTCCCGTTTTTTAAATCATGGCTAGTCAGGTGTCTGTATGCTCTCGCATGACACATGACCAGTGGTCCACCTGGTTCAGTATTTACTCTGACGCAACAGCTTCTCCATGGTTGCAGCCATCTATGAAGGAATGAAGTGGGAACACTCAGGTACAAGTATGGGATACCTTACTAATCCATATTTTATGGCTTTAGGGTTTTTATGAATGTGGAGACCCACAATCAGGACTAGAGAGCAGGAGTCCTCTTAACGTTACAGGTGGCAACCATTTTGCGCCCTTTCAACTGATGTGCAACTGCTGACGGATGGTTTGTTTTGGACCCGGAAGAGGGTGGAATGAGGCATAATGGGGCAAAGTGGGCTTATGCATGCTCCGTTGGTGCACAAATGCCCACAACACAACCCCCATGCAAATTGGGAGTTGCCTGTACTTGATCCTTCCTTCCCATGAGATACCTCCTTTCCGCTCCTTGCTGGGAAACAAATTGTGCAACGATCCAAATATACCGAGAGGTGGGTGCAGATTAAGCTGGTGCATGCAAACTTACATTGATGATTTGTTTTGCTTGAATAGCGTAGACTATAGTGGGGCAAAATAAATTGCAGTTGCCTGAAAGACGGTCGCTTCATAACTTCCCTGATATGGTGTTGTCTGCTGCAGATGAGAGCTTTTGCCCATAACACTTTAGCACTTCTTCTGCATTGGTTTAGTTTCTCTCTCAGCTGTTTTGTTTCCTTTGTGTTTTGCAGGTTGCATATGGAACCACAGAGAATAGTCCTGTCACCTTCATGGGGTTCCCTCAAGACAACATTGCCCAGAAAACAGAGACTGTGGGATGTATTTTCCCACATACAGAGGTGACTGATTCCCTTTGTTGGTGTAAACTGGGGGAAATGGGTGAAATTGCACTAAGTGCTTGGCCCGTGTCTTGAGCAGTCCATCCCCCATACGTGAATTCTGTTCAGAATTCTGTTTATTTCCTGGGGTGAAATCCTAAAAAAACCTCAACAACTTTGGGGTAAAATCCTAAGAAAAGCTCAGCAACTTCAATCCTAAAAAAAGGTTAACAACTTTGGTCGGCCCTTTGGTCGGCCCTCGCGGCCCTTCACTTCATCAAATCTGGCCCTCTTTGAAAAAAGTTTGGACACCACTGGAGCATGACCCATCCTCCCTTTCTTTAAGGAATGTGTGTAAGTGCAGAGGCAGGTACAAAGCCAAGGCTGCATTCAGCAGCATTGGCAGGAGTGTGAGATATTCACTGAGAAGAGGTTTTCCTCAGTGCAAGATCATAGTGGAGAAGCTGACGGTTACATGTTCAGTATAGCATGAAGATCTAGCAAGGTAAAGTGCTAGTGGATCTCTCTGTGTATTCGTATGTTTACAAGGCTTACTTCTAAGACCAGAGGAACTGTATAATGGTAGATTACCGTATTTTTCGCACCATAGGACGCACTTTTTCCCTCCTAAAAAGCAAGGGAAAATGTGTGTGCGTCCTATGGAGCGAATGCAGGCTTTCGCTGAAGCCTGGAGAGTGAGAGGGGTCGGTGCGCACCTACCCCTCTCGCTCTCCAGGCTTCAGGAAGCTATCCGCTAGCCGTGGGAGACCCAGCTCTCCCACCGCTAGCGGAGCGCAGCATTAATCCCAAAGCTTGGGGCGTGCGGAGCGCAGCGCGCCCCAAGCTTCTGGGTGCAAGCAGGGTCTCCGCTAGCCCTGGGAGAGCCCCGCGACGTCGCGCGGCTATCCCAGGGCTAGCGGACCACTGCGCTAATCCCGAAGCTTGGGGCATGCGGAGCTCAGCGCGCCCCAAGCTTCTGGGTGCCGGCAAGGTCTCGCTAGCCCTGGGAGAGCCCCGCGACGTCGCGGCTCTCCCAGGGCTAGCGAAGCACTGCACTAATCCCGAAGCTTGGGGCGTGCAGAGCTCAGCGCGCCCCAAGCTTCTGGGTGCCGGCAAGGTCTCCGCTAGCCCTGGGAGAGCCCCGCGACGTCGCGCGGCTCTCCCAGGGCTAGTGGACCACTGCGCTAATCCCAAAGCTTGGGGCGTGCAGAGCTCAGCGCGCCCCAGGCTTCTGGGTGCCGGCAAGGTCTCGCTAGCCCTGGGAGAGCCCCGTGACGTCGCGCGGCTCTCCCAGGGCTAGCGAAGCACTGCGCTAATCCCGAAGCTTGGGGCGTGCAGAGCTCAGCGCGCCCCAAGCTTCTGGGTGCCGGCAAGGTCTCCGCTAGCCGTGGGAGAGCCCCGCGACGTCGCGCGGCTCTCCCAGGGCTAGCGGACCACTGCGCTAATCCCGAAGCTTGGGGCGTGCAGAGCTCAGCGCGCCCCAAGCTTCTGGGTGCCGGCAAGGTCTCGCTAGCCCTGGGAGAGCCCCGCGACGTCGCACGGCTCTCCCAGGGCTAGCGAAGCGCTGCGCTAATCCCGAAGCTTGGGGCGTGCAGAGCTCAGCGCGCCCCAAGCTTCTGGGTGCCGGCAAGGTCTCCGCTAGCCCTGGGAGAGCCCCGCGACGTCGCGCGGCTCTCCCAGGGCTAGCGGACCACTGCGCTAATCCCGAAGCTTGGGGCGTGCAGAGCTCAGCGCGCCCCAAGCTTCTGGGTGCCGGCAAGGTCTCCGCTAGCCCTGGGAGAGCCCCGCGACGTCGCGCGGCTCTCCCAGGGCTAGCGGACCACTGCGCTAATCCCGAAGTTTGGGGCGTGCGGAGCACAGCGCGCCCCAAGCTTCTGGGTGCCGGCAAGGTCTCGCTAGCCCTGGGAGAGCCCCGCGACGTCGCACGGCTCTCCCAGGGCTAGCGAAGCGCTGCGCTAATCCCGAAGCTTGGGGCGTGCAGAGCTCAGCGCGCCCCAAGCTTCTGGGTGCCGGCAAGGTCTCCGCTAGCCCTGGGAGAGCCCCGCGACGTCGCGCGGCTCTCCCACGGCTAGCGGACCGCTGCGCTAATCCCGAAGCTTGGGGCGTGCAGAGCTCAGCGCGCCCCAAGCTTCTGGGCGCCGGCAAGGTCTCCGCTAGGCTAGCGGAGACCTTGCCGGCGCCCAGAAGCTTGGGGCGCGCTGAGCTCCGCACGCCCCAAGCTTCGGGATTAGCGCTCTGCTAGCCGTGTCTAGGCTGCAGATAGCAGCCTGCTTCCCGGAGCGTCGGGCGCCCTGAAAGCAGAGCTCCAGGTGCTTCGGGAACACATCCGCAGCGTGGGGAGGCTTGCAGGAGTTCCCCACAGGGCTCCCCACGCTGCGGATAGCAGCCTGCTGCCTGGCGGGTGGGGCGCCCTGAAGCAGAGCGCCCCGCGCGCCAGGCAGACATCAGCCAGCCCCACAAGCTCGGGGGACAGCAGGGAGGCGCAGCGCCACTATCCCGCTGTTCCTCGACCTGGTTCGGTTTCCCTGACCTGCTTTTGGGGGGGAAATAAAGGGAATTTTTTTCCCCTTTATTTCCCCCCCAAAAAACTAGGTGCGTCCTATGGTCCGGTGCGTCCAATCGTGCGAAAAATACGGTAGTTCATGATGGACCAGCACCTCTTAAAGTTTATGTAGCTAGTGTGTTTATGCTTGTCTTGTCTCATGAGGCAACAAGCACTCTAAGCTGAACCAAGTGGGAAAGGAGTTGTCTTAACTGGGAACTCTGGAAAAGAATGACTACAGTGGTACCTCGGGTTACATACGCTTCAGGTTACATACGCTTCAGGTTACAGACTCCGCTAACCCAGAAATAGTGCTTCAGGTTAAGAACTTTGCTTCAGGATGAGAACAGAAATCGTGCTCTGGCGGTGCAGTGGCAGAAGGAGGCCCCATTAGCTAAAGTGGTGCTTCAGGTTAAGAACAGTTTAAGGTTGAGTACGGACCTCCGGAACGAATTAAGTACTTAACCTGAGGTACCACTGTACTGGAAAGAAGGAAGACTCTGATGTTCTGCTGAAAGACTCTGTTAATCACAACACTTTTGCTGTATCTTCTGTTGCCACACCCTCACAGTCTCTAACCTGAACATGCTTCTGTTCGACTGATCTCTTTTATTATGCCACTCCATGCCACCATTAATGTTTCTGTTTCCTCTGTATTAACAGGCAAAAATTGAGGATCCTGAGACAGGGGAAATTATCCCACTCAACAGCCCAGGAGAACTTCAGGTCCGAGGTTACTGCGTCATGCTAGGGTACTGGGCAGACCCCAACAAAACCAATGAAGTGATGGATGATGAGAAATGGTACAAGACCGGGTACGTTGGGGAAGAAGCCATTTGTTCATTAGGATAATCCTTGGGAAGCCAATAGGATCTAGTAGGTGGAAGGCTGGATGGAGAATTACATTCAGGGCCATAAGCTGCCTTTTAGCAAGTCAGTATCTCGTCATGTCAGTCACCCTAACTGGGCAAATGAGGACAAAAATGACCTATTGCATAAAATTTGTACAGGGCTGAATTTGAGATAATGGGGTTGGGCAGCTTCACCTGCTGGGGAATGGCAGACAAGCAACATGTCCACCCCTAGGCTTAAGTCTTACTCAACACTCAATAGCAAACTTGTTTCATACACAGGCATGGAGTTGTAGGGGAGCCACTCTCCCATGGTGCCATCCCCTTGTGACTCTTTCCCACCAGATCACCGCCCTCCTCAATGGTGGGATGGTGATCTGTTGGGAAAAACCCATACAATCAATGAAACATAGCTGCATTATCCATTAATCTGCTGCTGCTCCCACGTGGGATAGATAGCTCCATGGAGAGGGAGCTGCCTCAAATTCGGGTGTGCATGAAGGGAGCCTTTGTTCCCTGGCATATGATATCTCACTACGTCATGTCTTGCCACATTGCAGAATCTAGTATTTGGTTATGCAGAATTCACAGAGTACTGCTTGTGATCTCTTGCTTATGCAAGTACAGAGGACTAGCTGCTAAAAAAACAAGCTGAAAAGGGAACATTTGGGCTGAAACTCAACATTGCTCTAAGCTGACTGTTCCATCAGCGCAAGCATTTGTGTTTGTCACACGGAACAATCTCCCTTCTCTTCTCCCTGTACCCTGTTCCAGGGGTACTCCTGACCTGCCAAAACCATTTTGGAGGAGTTGTGTGGGGAGGAGATGGGCAGAAAGTCCCATTGTACTAGTGGGATTTTGTGCTGGTTCCTGCTTGCCCAACTGTTTAATTGAATCTGGTCTTGGGCACCTAAGCATTTATCATATCAGGCATCCCCAAACTCGGCCCTTCAGATGTTTTTTGGGACTACAACTCCCATCATCCCTAGCTAACAGGACCAGTGGTCAGGGATGATGGGAACTGTAGTCCCAAAAACACCTGGAGGACCGAGTCTGGGGGTGCCTGTATCATATGTATGGTGCAACAACAGCTTTTGGAACAGTTGTGTACAGTTCTGGTCTCCTCACCTTGAAAATGATATTTTAGAGTTGGAAAAGGTTCAGAAGAGGGAATCAAAACAAAACAAAAAATGACCAAAGGGATGGAACAACTCCCCTATGAGGAAAGGTTACAGCATTTAGGGCCTTTTAGTTCAGAGAAAAAGCGAGCAAGAGGAGATATGATCAAAGCGTGTAAAATTACATAGGACACGAGAGCCTGGTGTTGGACTAGGTGTGTCCCTGGCCTTCTCCAGCAGGCTCTTCTTCAGTTCTCCAGTGGAGCATCCAGCAACATGGCAAGGTCAGGGTAGAATGACTGTGATATCCTTCCAGGGACATGGCTATTCTTGATGAGTACGGCTACTGCAAGATAGTAGGCCGCTGCAAAGACATGATCATCCGAGGAGGAGAGAACATATACCCAGCAGAGCTCGAGCAATTCCTACATACCCATCCTAAGATTCAAGAGGTGCAGGTGAGAAAAATGGTGAGGTGGGACATGGGAACAGGCCCTCTAACCCTCTTGTTTGGCTATGTGCTGGACCCAGGGATAACCCATGAACCGTGGTCCAGGACCGGTCCAGAATCCGAAGGTTCCACTGGGAGTCAGTCCGACAGGGCCAAGGCAGGACACAAGGCAGGGAACCAGGCAAGGACAGGGGCAGGATCTAGCATACAGCAAAGTGGCTCCCACAACCTGGGGCGGGGTCCGACAGCCTTTTATCATTGTTGGGGTAGCAGCCGGTCCTGATCCCCCGGCGACTCAACTCCCTGTTTTGCCTGAAGGCGAGCACTCCTCCTGCAAGTACTCAGGTCTCTCCTTCTTAGTCTCTGCAGCTCGGGAGATGTTGGTGGCTTACTAGACCCAGGGGCCGCCTCAGTCTCCCCTGACCAAACCGGTAGTGGAGCAGCTGTAAGTGATTGCCCAGCAGAGGGCAACGAGGTAATCCCTGCAGGGCAGGGCAGGCTCAGGCCCCTGACTCGGCTCTGTTTGTTGCAGGGGAACCTGTGCAGACTGGGACTCTTCAGGATCAGGCCCCAGACTTGGTTTAGATAATGCCTGAGGCAAAGGATCCGGTGCAGACTGAGTCTCCTCTGGTTCCAAGTCCAAGCCTGAGTCCCAGGCCATCACAGGCTAAATACTGAAGGCTGAATGTGCGACAAGATGCCGTGTGGCTCCAGCGCCATTTAGGGAAATGAGCTCGCTTGTGGGTTTCCCACAGGCACCTGGCTGGCCACTGTTTGAGAACAGGATGCTGAACTAGATGGGTTGTTGGCCTGATCCAGCAGGGTCAAGAACCCCAATAAGTTGGGTGGTCCCGATGATCAACTTTCCCCTTCTCTTCCACTCAGGTAGTTGGCGTGAAAGACGAGCGAATGGGAGAGGAGATCTGCGCCAGCATCAGAGTGAAAGCTGGAGAAGAGTGCACAGTAGAAGAAGTCAAGGCATTTTGCAAAGGGAAGGTAGGAACTTCGAGATGGGTGGGTGTGTCCTGCTCCCCCCCCAATAAAAAGAAAGAGCAAACTCTCCAGTGGTGAGAGTTGAGGTTCTGTCAAGGGCTGCTTCCAGATGGTTGGTTCCTAGCTCAGCCCAATCATTGCTCTTCCGTTGCAAGCTATACGTGGAATTGCAATCGATGTCCCACACTATCAGGAGGATTGTGCTTTTCGAGGTGTGCATTCCACTATGTTCTGTATACATCCATGGGGGCATGGCACAGCTGCTCTGGGTAGGGCCATTTGAACCTCAGCACACATCCACTATAAGTGGTGCTAAAAGCATCTACAGTCGTACCTTGGTTCTTGAATGTTTTGGCTCCTGAACGATTGAAACCCAGAAGTGACTGTTCTGGTTTTCAAACGTTCTTTTGGAAGCTGAACGTCTGACGGAGCTTCTGCGGCTTCCGATTGGTTGCAGGAGCTTCCTGCAGCCAATCAGAAGCCGCGCTTTGGTTTTGAATGCTTTGGAACGACTGTACGCTTGTCACATTTGGGCTGCTCTTCTGTTCTTCGGGGAAAAACAACTGGGCTTCCTGTAGTCTGAGGAAAGACGGAAGGACTGTATGATAGGATGACAGCCTCAGGCGGATGCCTCATAAAAAGTGACTGAATAAGCATGGCAGTTCCACACTAAATGCCTAGTGTGGAAGCTCCCGCTGTCTTAATATCAGTTGGGGATATGGCTTTAGATAAAAGGCAGTTTTGTATTCCATGTTGGAGAGGCACTTGCTCTGAGTCCTGCTCAAGCGGGGAACAGCAAGCCCGCTGTATAAAGATTGAGTCAGTCCACAGCCATTGGCTTTTCTTTTGCAGATCGCTCACTTCAAGATCCCTCGGTACATAGTGTTTGTGAAGGATTTCCCGCTCACCGTCTCGGGCAAGGTGAGTGACAGTCCAAAGGCTTTTGCTTGCTTAGCCCCAGTAGGTTGCATGGTGCTTTGCGGAGTGCAGGAAGATCCCTGCCTCGAGGAACTTGCAAACTAAACCGGTTACAGCGGAATCACAGGGGAGGGGAAGAGGAGGTGGCGTAAACAGGGAAGGAGTGTTTGCAGTTGCTTGAGTTACATGGGCTTGGGCCTAGTTACAGAGCACGATTTCTGTTCTCATCCTGAAGCAAAGTTCTTAACCCGAGGTACTATTTTTGGGTTAGCGGAGTCTGTAACCTGAAGCGTATGTAACCTGAAGCATATGTAATCCAAGGTACCACTGTATTCCCCTATTGCAGATGGGGGCCTAAGCAGTCATGGCATGCCTGTGGGCAACTACTGAGTTCGTGGTCAAGTCAAAACTTGAACCCAAGGTGTTCCCGCTGCAATACCATGGTTTGAAGGAATTCTACTCAAATTCATGGGATAAAACCCTCCTCGCCTCCCCTTCTGCTTACATATCCAGTTTGCTGAGTTCAGTCCGCTTCCGGGTCCCGTGCCCAACGGCCAACACCTCCTTCATCCATACATCTGGCTCCAAAGTCTGTATCCTGGCTTCCCGATGACTTGCCATCTCCCCACGGCACAAATCTCCCATGGGCTCCTAGGAAAGAGGCAGCCAGGGCTGTGGCTTAATTCTTTCTCTAGAGGGTATGGGAAGCAAATGTGCATAACTGCCCAGCCATCAGATGGCTGAGGTCATCCTTCCCCAACAACTCATGTCAAACATGAAGCACAGCTAAAATGGTGCCATCTGAAAAGCACCTTGGAGAGCCCAGATTGGGAAGCGGCTGGCCCCTCTCATCTCCCCAAGCAATGCTCACCTGGTCCAATCCCGATATATTGACTCCCTTGCCAATAGGACAGGTTGTGGGTACTAAGTGCCCCCTGCAGGGGAAAAAGAAACAGAACAGCATAACCACTAAGGAATAGGTAGTCCAGGGTTACACCATGCTGGGAACCCTTTAGCGACCGAACTCCTGAGGACGCTCAGCAACTCAGTGGATCCAGCATTCAAGTTTTGTGAGAAAGCGGAAAGCTCAGATTTAAAGCTCTCTCTTGGGATGGGAACTAAGCCTTCTGACTATCGGTCTCAGCCTGTGCCTACTGCCTTCAATAACATGCTCTGTTTCTTTTGCTAGAAGGCATCCTCAGAGCATGTTTGCTTCACTTCTGTAGCTGGATAATATTCTTCTCTTTCTTTCCTACACATACACAAGCAAGCAAGCAAGCTTATTTCATTATCTGAAAATTATTTTGTCCTACTCCCTTCTGCTTAGGCAAGAGGAACCCCGCCACCAATCCATTTGAAGACTGGATGAGACCCATGGGTGCTTCTCTGCATATCCCCCTCGTGGGGGGGGGGGTTGTTTTGTGGTTTTTTGGAGTGGTTTGCAACTGAAGAGGGAAGGGTTAACCATATCCTGCAACCCCCACACTCAAAAAAGCTCCCTCTTGCTTGTCAGGCTTTGAAAACTCACCCTCCCTCCCTCCCTCCCCTCCCTCCCTCTCTCTCTCTCCTGTGTGTGTGTGTGTGTGTGACAGCACAACGGGAGAAGGTTAACCATTCCCTTAGCAGCTTATGGACCCTCAACCCCAGTTACCCTCCACCTGTGGCAATTGTGTTTGAAAAAAAGTCCTTCCAATGACTCCAATGGGAAGCTGTTTTCAAGCTTAGCTGTTGCATATGTGTGTGTGAGAGCGAGATCTTTGTGGAGACTGCAACTCCAATGCTTTTTCAAGCCTAATTATTTGAGGTGCGGTCGGAGTGTGTGGGTGTGTGTGTGTGTGTGTTGTTGGGGCGGGGAGAAAACAAACATGAATGGGTATTGGTACGGCCTGTATTATACGTGAGAATGAATGGAAGCGGGTGACATACTCATGAATTGATGTGTGGGGAAGATTAACAATGTTTTGGATGCTGCCCTTGGACTGAGTAAGGTCCCCACTCCTGATTTAGGCTATATAGCAGAGGTTCTAGGCAAAGTAACAGACTTACATTCCTAGCGAAATTGGAGACCCTCGTACTGATGGAAACCTGAATTTTGCAGAACATGCCGGGGAGCACTCGTACATCTCTGATACTACATCTGGATCAGGCATGGGCAGGGTGCCCTGGTGGACTTTGCTTGAAAAGCGAAGTACCCCTCTCCAGTGTCAGCTGGTAGAGAGAGATGTGGTCATCACACACGGTGAGCAGTTCCTCCAGACGCCTGGATCCAGATGCATTGGTCTGACCCGGGAGTCCCAAATATGAGGTCAATGGAAGTACGGCCTGCCAACGAGTTTCTTGGCTTCTTCTAAAGTTCGTAGAGCGTCACAAGATGTGTGGTTCCTTCCAAGGAGTTTCAGCTCTGTATTAATTAAGTGACTGTTGATGAGGACAGGAAAACATGAGTATATTTGCCTCATTTATCAGGGGAAGAAGTGCAAGTGTCAGGAAAGAAGATATGAGTAAGGCAAGAGTGAAAGCACTATTAGAGCATGAAGATTTCTGAATGTCAGGTGCAAGCAAGAACCAATGGGAAGCAAAAAGTGAAGAGTCTGGTGGCCAAAAACAGTTTGTAAGAGAGATTTCCCATTTCCTCCCTCTCCCCTTTGAAATACATTCTGGGGGGGGGTTGATCAGAGCAACAAAGGAGGTGTGTGTTTTAACTCCTTCCCCGACTGAAATCTCAACACTGACCCCCAGGTTGTTCTTTGCCCTTGCCAAATTTAACTCTTACTTTTAAAATTGTGGATGTTGAAAAAATAGTAACAGGAAAGGAATTTCTCACAGGTCAGATTGGTGGTTATTCTGGACTATTCTGAGATATTTACTCCATAAGTAACTGTTTGCTGTTTCTGGCACACTATGGGCAGGAAAGCAGAGGAAGAGAGATGCTGAAGAATGGAGTGGCCAAGCTCAATCATTTTTGACAAATGCAAGTTGCCAAAGGTTTCCATAAATGCTTTTTAGAAACTTCTCGCCGAAAGGAATATTGTAACTGGATCAGCACAGATTAATACAGCCCTGAAAGCAATGCACCCGTCACCTTACCTGGACACCAATGGAGAGGCGATTGATACCAGCTTTCTGGAACTCAGCCAGGCACGAGGCATCTGCTGAAGTGGGATTGGCTTCCAGTGTAACCTCAGTGCCTTCTGCTAAATGGGCACACTGGGAGACAGTGTCCAGGACAGCAGCAATGGTGAGCGGGTTGGCCAGGCTTGGCGTCCCTCCACCAAAGAACACTGATGTGATTCTGCAAAACCAAGGAGACGGTGAGGGGGACATATCTGAGGAACCCACAGTGTTGAGCCATATACGTCTCAGCCATACATCTCATTGCCTTTTTTTTGTCTACTGCTTTTCAATAAAATAAATAAATCTTCCTATAGCAGTTTACAAGCCACTTAACAAATATACAACATAATGTTCCCACTGATCAGAAAGACTTCAAACCTCTGTAGGATTTCACAAAAGCCACTGTCCTTTAATGGTGAAGAGCATCTGTACTGAATATATTTGGCTTATTCCAAACCACTAAAATTCCCAACGCAAGAGCAGCTGCTGGCTTTGTTGTAAAACTCATCTCTTTCCTGTTCCTTCCCAAGTTCCCTGACTGTAAATCCTGACTGTTCAAAACCTCCCCCTCATCTTCCACTATACTAACCTCTTGACTTGGCTGAGTTGGATCAGGGTCTGGGCCTCCTGAACAAGACAGTTCCTCATTTTCTGCTCATCAAGATTTCGGGGAATGTACTTGTTGAAGTTGCAGTAGCTGCAGCGTTTCTCACAGTAGGGCCACTAAGAGACCAAGGAAACAATAGAATTCTTATTTGTTAAGACCAAGCACACTTTCTGGTACCTTCACCCTACTGTGTCCTGCTATCGTCAACATCTTGCCAGACCAAAGCCTGTAACACTTCTACCTACCAAGAGGGGCAATCAATAAAATGGCTTGGAATGCAAAATATTTAACTCTGCACTCATTCTACCCCAAAGGCACATAGTGACCACCAGCATGTTTTTAAAACATGGTGGATTCAAAATACAAATATACTTATTGCACTATAGACTTAGTCCTACTCAACAGAGTTTAATCTCGGCCAATAAATGCCAGCCCAAGTAAAAACAACCACCACAAACCTGTTTTATTTCATAAAGATGCTCTATCTGTAGCTTTGGCTAAACTTCAGGCTTTCCAGTCATCGTGACCATCATGTCTTTCAGACCGTATATTTGTGGGCAGGTGAAATGTTTAAGAGAGGACTCTACAAAGGAGTATGTGGGAAATTTAACCTGAGGGTAGGCAGCATTGAATTCAATAGGACTTCATTCTGTGGAGATATGGTTAGTATTGCATTATGAATTATGCTTGGGAAGAGGATGATTGCTGGAGGAAGTGTAGCACAAGGCAACCTAGTCTTCTACACTTGCTATGACAACGCCCCAGCATGAACTTGTTCTGAAATAAAATCAGTTGTGGTTCCAAACACAATTTTGGAATTACGTGGGGAAGAGCAAGAGCAGAATGGTTTTTTTTTTAATACCAATTCACAGAAAGTCAGCACAGGTGGTTTTCCAGGACTCTTTCCTGAAGAGGGCCTCCAAAAATAACCCAATTACTCATGGGAATGTGTTACATATATTCTTTCTGATGCGTTAGGTTTTGTTGTTTTTAAGATTTAGGAGCATTCCTATAACCCCCCTCAGTTGGAAATCATATCACACTGCTCAGGAAGCAACAGCCTGTCAAGCTAATGATGTGTATTTTGTCTCTTAAATAGACAGAAAAAAGACAAAGGCAGACATGGAAGAGTGAAGGCAATGAAAGACTGTCAACTATGAGAGAGGTGTGCTTAGTTTGGGGTAAAATGCCACGTTGCCAGGTATTTATGTTTCAGAGGAAGTCTGTTGGGCTTTTGGCTGAGCAGAATGCATTATACACTTCTTAGAAACTAGATCAGGTAGATAAATCTCTATGGATCTGAACACACACACACATACACATACAGACACACACACACACACTGATCTGTCCGTAATATTTTCCCTCCTCAGTTATGGTGCAACTCTCTTTGAGTCAT